GTAGTATGGAAGTAATATAATTTCAAAGTATCATTTATAAGTACCTATAGAAATTAAATTGATAATTACCTCTAAAATAGGTGGGGAATAAAGGGAAATTATATCAGACTAAACTAGACACTTACAAACTTCAGGAGGCCCGAAAACAAGCAGAGATAACATGCCTTCCTCAACGACACTGCATGGCCTGGACATCATGGATGATTCCACAATTACGGCAACAGCTCTCCTAAACTCCCAGGTATTCTTACATAAAATGAGAAGCATTATGCAGGACCTCAGGAAAGACTTGCATGTCGATTTCACCAGGATTACCTCTGAAATCACAAAATCACTTATTGAGCTAGGTGATTGCACAGAAGTGCTAGAATCAAAGGTGGATGACATTATAGGATCTCACAATCTGCTAGCAAATAACCATACAGTTCACTTGGTTCCAGATCTGCCTAGCTCTGAAGTTATCATTGACCGTATTCATCTGATACCCAAAGGTCATAACTCCTCTTCATTGACTCCCAAGATGCAATCGCTCATGTGCACTTCTTCCATCGCAAAACCCGCATTATGTTGGTCACAAGGGTACCAAAGAGACTGCCTGAGACATATTTCCCCATACAATTGTACTTAGACCTGTCTTTGTACACTATGGCATGATGCAAGGAATTTCAGCGTATTATTTGAGTATTAAGAACTAACAACATTGTACATAGATGGGGTTTTCGGGCTAAGTTATCACTTGAAAATGTGTCACCAAAATAGCCCAGACACCAGCTAAGGGAAGGAAGTTATTTAGTGCTTGGGAAGTTGCCATGTCCAACAGTTGGCAAGAAAGACAAAGCTACCAGTAAAGGAGCTTCAAAACTAACCAGAGAATGGACGCCGGTCGTCCACTCAGCAAGGGAGTCACCCTCCTCTGAAGGCCGATAGCTCCCTAAAGTGGCCATGAATGATATCCTTTTATGCTACTGTGGATGATGACTGCTTTGTTTCTGATGTTCTAAGCAACATAGTTCACTCACAAGCTAGTTGGGCAAAGTTAGAGTCCCAAATGTGATGTTATCTGATAGGTTCTTGGTATCATTACCTAATATTCACTGCATATTGGGATGATGTTGCAAGGACTTATTGGTCCCTTAAGGAGCAAAATTATCCTGTAAAAGAAGGATATGTGAGGACTTTAATGTGCTGCTGGATACACCTGCGGCTCAGAACTACTGTATACATATTATTCTAGTACATCGCAAATATTCTCAATTAGACTACTGCTTTGTTGACAATTCCCTACTATACTCATCTCCACCCGCTGCAGTGTTTCTCTAAGGTTACTTTTCCAGCTCATTCAAGATCAGTAATGACATCAGAGTGTCCGATGTCCCACTGTTATACATCCTGTCATTGGAGCCTCTGGCCAGTGCAAAACGGAATGCAGCAGCTTTAGAAGGGAATCTTTATAGAGCTCCATAGTCGAAACGTTGGTTGTCTAGCTCTGTCAACATTCTTGTTGTGTATACTAATTAATTATTATTTTTTTGTATTATGTACATTGATTCAATGTTTGCATATAGGGCAGATTCATTCAGGTATATGTGCCATTATTAATGGTATAAATAGATATATTTGTATTTTTTTATATTGAAATAAAATGAGATTTTGTTTATTGATTTTGGTTGTGCGGGTATTTTTTAATTACATGATTGCTTATGTACCACTAGAGGGGGTGGTTTTCCATACCCTTTGCACCCTATACTTTGATTGCATGCTGTACATTGATTGGTTACCCCTACTAATCTTATTTTTAATTTATCTTATACTTCCTAGCTCTGTGTTTGTCAAGTATTCAACCTCACCTTGTGGTGTTGGCAATAGTAATTGCCTTCCTAGCAGTGATGGAGGTGCTGTTCTACGGTCTGGCGCTGGCATACCTGACTGCTGCAGCATATCTGTGGACGCAGGCCGCTGCGGATCCACACCATATTATAGCCCCACATGCGTGTGATGTCACGTAATAGACGCGCAAACACGTTTTGGGGTCAAAGGCTGGTTACTGCCAATCGGATCTGCAAGAGGGTTATTTAAACTCATTTCTCCTTTCACTCGTTGCCCTGTCGTGGTTTCCCTTAGTAGGTTATCCGAAAGTATGTTCCTGAGCATTTATTTCTGGTTATTGACTTTAGCTTGGTTTTGATTTCCCTGTATTCTGGTATCCCTGACTTTTGGTTTTCCTCATTGTTGTGTCTCATTCTGTGCCCCCCGACCTCGACAAGTATTCTGACTATTCTCTGGTACGTTAAGTCCAGCCATTCTAAGGCAGGGTAAGACGTTACCTTTAGTCCTAGGTGTGATACAGTTCTGCGTGCTGGATCAACTAGTAATCTTGACAGTTTTCGCCTGTCTTCTATGTCATGTCTTTTTAAATCTAACCTTTTCTGTCGTCCATTCTCTACACGTTTTTCCATCCTTTCATGGACTTTTGCATTCTTTTCATGATTTCAACCTTTCTTACCACATTTTTCTCTCTCAGCAGCCTTATGTTTCTTCTAACTTTCTTTAACTTTTCATTTATCTGCTCCTGGTAGCTACTTTTTTTTTTTTTTTGCGTTCTCAACTCTACCCTTTAGTTTATTTTATTTTCCTTTCTCTCCTTGCCTCTTCCACATCTTCCCTGTGATTATTCATTTTTTTGGACCCCAGTTCATTCCCTACTCTACTATTTCTTCTTTACCCTACCCTCTCCACTATCCAAATATTTTCCACACTAGATATTTGTGCCCTCCTTTTCCTTTATCTCCTAGTTTTTAGTCTCATCTTCACCTCTAGCACTTGGTCTATCCAATGCTATTTCACTCCTATAACCCTTGGCTCAACTCCACTCCCCTACCTTTCCTCTCCTTCCCTCTACTCTGTTCACTGATGGCATTCCTTTTTGTCCCCCTACCTTTTTACTACAGATTGATCATGGGTGGAGGGTAATTTCTTGTGATTGGTAAATACAGAGCACACTCTGTCTCTTCGAAGATGCATAATGAAACAGTTCTGAGCATACTGTGATAGAAACAGTAGCAAAAATATGCAAAAAATATATATGTAACAATTTATCTGCCACATACCATCAAAAGGACACTGTAATTGTAGAATTTTAAAAGTAATACGTTCAACTTGACATAGATATTTGTGAATTGTAATTTTATATACAATTACAATATTTGAATTACAATATATATTTCATACAATATATGAAAAAATCTGGATACAATATACATATTAACTATAAATAAACAGAATATTTAAAAGCTGGGGAGTGGAGCAACAAAGAATTGTGTCATGACCAATTATGATAGTAATATTTTGAAATTTTTCAGTAATATTCTCTATCTAAACATATAATGGGATTCAGCAAATCAAATTGCTGTTGAATAAAGAATATCTAATGTCATAACAATAGTACGCACACATACACACACAAACACAAACTCCTACATCGTTCTCCCAACAAAGATTCTCTAGAGTCCCATCATGAAGATTCTTCACCCATCAGCAATTTCGAAAAGCGAAGTGATTCAAGCCGTCATCATTCTATCAAAAGATCAAATGCATTAAGCTACTGTTCAGCTTTGATTGATGTATATATATATTAGATGTTTTCCGAGTCATTTGCTGATTTCCTGCTGATATCAGAGGAAACTTTGCTTGGGAAACTCAAAGAAATCAAAACAGAGAAAGGTGACTTCTTACTTAAAAAAGGGTAATTGTGATAATTTGTAGATCTATGTTATTGACATAGTTAGAAACTTTTTTGCGCCATGTGAACTACCAAATTTTCAGTTTTTCTTGACTCTTTTTTTCTTTTGTTTCTTTTTTTAGGACTTTATTAAAGGCAGTTTGCTTTTGGTAAAACGAAAAGTGGGATAACTGGTGAGTCTCATAAAAAAATGGCTACCCCTATATAGCTTCTGAAAACAACCTTATTTGATAACTGAGGCCATTAAAATTTATTGCAATCCATTATATAAATACTGTGACTACTGACTAAGTGTATATAATTACATATTCTGTAATATACATCATACTTTTACCAGCAGAGTTGTGAAGCCAAAACATCGATTTAAAGTTAAGCTGTAGACCCAAAAGGTGAAATGCAATATTTGAAAGAGAATTATCTAAAACACATTATATATTACTGGATACGGCTGCGCTTGTCTGTGATAACGCCCCCTGCCATGCTAAACACACGTTCAGACAATACACTGGCTGCAGGGCAGGCCAGCACCTCCAAGGCATAAAGGGCAAGCTCAGGCCATGTGCCCAATTTGAAGACCCAGAAGTTGAATGGAGCAGACCCATCAGTCAGTACGTAGGCGTGTGCACACGTACTGTTCCACCATGTTGCTGAAATGCTGCCTCCTGCTAAGACGTTCCATATCAGCTGGTGGTGCTGGTTGTTGTGGCATGCTAACAAAACTTTTCCACATTTCGGCCATGCTAACCCTGCCTTCTGAGGTGCTGGCGTTGCCCCAGCTGCGTTGGCGACCTCTTCCTCCTCCTCTGTCTTCGCCTTGTGCTTCCACTGAGCCCCCGGTGTCAGTTGGGAATGCCCTCAGCAGCGCGTCTACCAGCGTGTGCTTGTAGTCGCGCATCTTCCGATCACGCTCCAGTGAGGGAATTAAGGAAGGCACGTTGTCCTTGTAATGGGGATCCAGCAGGGTGGCCATCCAGTAATCAGCACAAGTTAGAAGGTGGGCAACTCGGCAGTCGTTGTGCAGGTATTTTGGTGACTCTAGATAACCTCAGGCCAATCGCACCTCCCCGTGACGTGACGATGCATTTGGATGTCTGCCCTATCAACTTTCGATAGAACTTTCTGCGCCTACCATGGTGACCACTGGTAACGGGGAATCAGGGTTCGATTCCAGAGAGGGAGCCTGAGAAACGTCTACCACATCCAAGGAAGGCAGCAGGCGCGCAACTTACGCACTCCCGACGCGGGGAGGTAGTGTCGATTAATAACAATACAGGACTCTTTTGAGGCCCTGTAATTGGAATGAGTACACTTTAAATCCTTTAACGAGGATCTATTGGAGTCTGGTGCAGACCGACTGACCCATGCGTGCTGCAGCTGAAACTCCACTATGGTCTACTGCTGCTTGCACAGTCTCTCCAGCATGTGCAAGGTGGAGTTCCATCTTGTGGGCATGTCGCAAATGAGGCGGTGAGCGGAAAGGCCGAAGTTACGCTGCAGCGCAGACTGGCAAGCAGCAGGGTGAGAACGCTGAAAACACACACAGACTTTCTGCAGCAGCTCTAATATATCTGGGTAGTTTTTCAGGAATTTCTGCACCACCAAATTCAGCACGGCGCCATGCAAGGGATGTGCGTCAAACCAGCTGGGCTCAGAGCTGCTACGAGATTTCGCCCATTATCGCACGCCAGCAGGCCGGGCTTGAGACTTAGTGGCAACAACCACTCATCGGTCTGTTGTTCCATGCCTGTCCACAGCTCCTGCGCGGTGTGGGGTTTTTCCCTCAAACATATGAGTTTTAAAACAGCCTGCTGTCGTTTCCCCCTGGCAGTGCTGAATTTGGTGGTGAAGGTGTTATTCTGACCGGATGAGGAGGTGGTAGAGTAGGAGGAGGAAGTGGAGTAGGAGGAGGAGGCAACAGGAGGCAAAGAGAAATGCCCTGCAATCCTCGATGGCGGAAGGACATGCGCCAAACTGCTATCCGCCTCAGGCCCAAACTAACAGATGGTTTATGTCAGGCGACAATGTAACCGCCAATAGTCAACAATTACGTTCACTGACAGTAAGGCAGTGCCGGTGTCCTAAAGATAAAAAATTTCTAGAGGTCACACAACAGTGTGACAGGCGTAATTCATACAGTTACTTCACTGTCTCAAAAAAGTGTGATTTTTGTAAACCAACAATGTAACAGTCGTATTTAAGGGTTTTATTGGACTGCAAGAAATGCACCGCAGGCCGCAAATGTTCTATTTAGCACAAAAAAGTGTGATTTTTTAAAACCAACAATGTAAGAATAGTATTTAAGGGTTTTATTGGACTGCAAGAAATGCACCGCAGGCCGCAAATGTTCTATTTAGCACAAAAAAGTGTGATTTTTTAAAAACCAACAATGTAAGAGTAGTATTTAACGGTTTTATTGGACTGCAAGAAATGCACCGCAGGCCGCAAATGTACTATTTAGCACCCAAAAAATTTGAATTTTTCAAAGTGCTATGTAACCACAGTATTTGACAGTTCTATTTGACTCTCAGATATGAAGTGCACACCACAAATTCACTTTTTAGCACCCAAAAAATTTGAATTGGTCAAACTGCGATGCAACCACAGTATTTGACGGGTTCTATTTGACTCTCAGATATGAAGTGTGCCGCAGGCAGCAAATGTACTATTTAGCACCAAACAAATTAGAATTTTTCAAACTGCGATGTGACCACAGTATATGACGGTTCTATTTGACTCTCAGATATGAAGTGCACGCCCCAAATTAACTTTTTAGCACCAAAAAAATGTGAATTTTTAAAAGTGTGATGTAACCACGGTATTTGATGGTTCTATTTGACTCTCAGATATGAAGTGCACCGCTGGCAACAAATGTATTTTTTAGCACCAAAGAAATGTGAATTTTTCAAACTGCTATGTAACCACAGTATTTGACGGTTCTATTTGACTCTCGGATATGAAGTGCACGCCCCAAATTTACTTTTTAGCACCAAAAAAATTTGAATTGGTCAAACTGCGATGTAACCACAGTATTTGACGGTTCTATTTGACTCTCAGATATGAAGTGCACACCACAAATTCACTTTTTAGCACCAAAAAGATTTGAATTGGTCAAACTGTGATGCAACCACAGTATTTGACGGTTCTATTTGACTCTCAGATATGAAGTGCGCGCCACAAATTTACTTTTTAACACCAAAAAAATGGGAATTTGTCAAACTGCAATGTCACAGCAGTATTTAAAAATACCTAGATGTTGCCCACTGAGCTACCAGAACAGGATTAAAGTAATGTGCCTGGCACACATGCAGTTGCAAGTGCCCACATAACAAAAAGACTGATTGCTTATTTCTCCGTGGCACTGGGCTCAGGGCAGGGTACGAAAATGTAGTATAGCACCCACAAAAATAATCGCTGTAGTTTGCAGATTCAACACCAGAATTTTTTTCTAATCTGTCCCTCACAGCTGCAGCATCCTCTCCCTACACTAATAAGAGCTCATGTCACTCCAGCTTATATAGAGGCTGGGTCACATGCTGCCCTGGCCAATCACAGCCATGCCATTAGTAGGCATGGCTGTGATGGCTTCTAAGGGCACACAAGTCAAACGCTTGTTGATTGGCTGCCCTGCAGCTTTTCAAAACGCGCCATTAAATTGCCAAACACCGAACTCGAACCCGAACTGTTACTGAAATGTCTGTGTTCAGGTTCGGGGTCCAAAAATCTTAATGTTCGGTGTGAACCTGAACCTTACAGTTCGGGTTCGCTCATCTCTACCAGGAAGCCTTACTTCAGTAGTGTGGAAACCATGTTAAAGGATAGGATTGTTGAACATCTAAAATCACATGGATTTCAAGATCAGAGACTACATGGGTTTACTTCAGGGAGATCGTGCCAAACTAATGTTATTGATTTTTTTGATTGGGTAACTAAAATAATAGATCAGGGTGGTGCAGTAGACATTGCTTACCTAGATTTCAGTAAGGCTTTTCACACTGTTGCACATAGAAGGCTTATCAATAAACTGCAATCTTTAAGTGTGGATATTAATATTGTTGAATGGGTTAGGCAGTGGCTAAATGACAGGCAACAGAGGGTTGTTGTCAATGGAGTATATTCGAAGCAAGGTCTAGTTACCAGGGGAGTACCTCAGGGATCTGTACTTGGACCCATTCTCTTTAGTATTTTTATTAGTGATATTGCAGAAGGTCTTGATGGTAAGGTATGTCTTTTTGCTGATGATACTAAGATATGTAACAGGGTTGATGTTCCAGGAGGGATAAGCCAAATGGCAAATGATGTAAACTAGAAAAATGGTCAGAGCTGTGGCAACTGGCATTTAATGCGGATAATTAAATGACGTAAAATGGACGTAAAAACCTAAGGGCAGAGTATAGGATATTTGATACCCTACTAACCTCAACATCTGAGGAAAGGGATTTAGGAGTAATTATTTCAGATAACTTAAAGGTAGGAAGACAGTGTAATAGAGCAGCAGGAAATGCTAGCAGAATGCTTGGTTGTATAGGGAGAGGTATTATCAGTAGAAAGAGAGAAGTGCTCATGCCGTTGTACAGAACACTGGTGAGACCTCACTTGGAGTGTTATATGTAGTACTGAAGACCGTATCTTCAGAAGGATATTGATACTCTAGAGTTCAGAGAAGGGCTACTAAACTGGTTCATGGATTGCAGGATAAAACTTACCAGGAAAGGTTAAGGGATCTTAACATGTATAGCTTGGAGGAAAGATGGAGGAAAGACAAGACAGGGGGGATATTATAGAAACATTTAAATACATAAAGGTAATCAACACAGTAAAGGAGGAGACTATATTCAAAATAAGAAAAACTAAAAATTAGAGAGGCAAATGTTTAAAAATAATATCAGGAAGTATTACTTTACTGAGAGGGTAGTGGCTGCGTGGAATAGCATTCCAGCTGAAGTGGTAGAGGTTAACACAGTGAGGGAGTTTAAGCATGTGTGGGATAGGCATAAGGCTATCCTAGAATTAAGATAAGGCCAGGGACTAATTAAAAGTTTTTTGAACTATTGGGCAGACTAGATGGGCCAATGATTATTATCTGCCGTCACATTTAGAGATGTCACGAACAGTTCGCTGGTGAATAGTTCCCGGCGAACATCGCATGTTCGCGTTCGACACGGCGGGCGAACATATGCGATGTTCGGTCCGCCCCCTATTCCATATCATTGAGTAAACTTTGACAACCCCCCCACCCGCCGCTCAAGGGTGGGGGTTGCCAAAGTTTACTCAATGATATGGGGGGGGGACCTACCGTTCTCCCCCTGGCCCCCACCCCTGAGCGGTGGGTGGGGGCCCTAAAAAAAACAATAGGGGGGAACTTCTGTCCCCTCCCGGCCCCCACCCCTGAGTGGTGGGTGGGGGTCCTAAATACTAAGAAGGGGGGGGACCTAAGGTCCTCCCCCCTGGCCCCCACCCCTGAGCGGCGGGTGGGGGCCCTAAATACTAAAAAGGTGGGGACCTAATGTCCTCCCCCCGGCCCCCACCCCTGAGCGGTGGGTGGGGGCAAATAAATCACAATGGGGGACCTAAAATAAATCACAATGGGGGGGGACCTAAGGTCCTCCCCCCTGGCCCCCACCCCTGAGCGGCGGGTGGGGGCCCTAAATACTAAAAAGGGGGGGACCTACTGTCCTCCCCCCCAGCCCCCACCCCTGCACGGTGGGTGGGGGCAAATAAATCACAATGGGGGGGGACCTAAGGTCCTCCCCCATGGCCCCCACCCCTGAGCGGCTGGTGGGGGCCCTAAATACTAAAAGAGGGGGGACCTAAGGTCCTCTCTCCCGGCCCCCACCCCTGAGCGGCGGGGGGGGGCCCTAAATACTAAAAAGGGGGGGGACCTAATGTCCTCCCCCCTGGCCCCCACCCCTGAGCGGTGGGTGGGGACAAATAAATCACAATGGGGGGGACCTAAGGTCCTCCCCCCTGGCCCCCACCCCTGAGCGGCGGGTGGGGGCCCTAAATACTAAAAAGGGGGGGACCTAAGGTCCTCCCCCCCGGCCCCCACCCCTGAGCGGTGGGTGGGGGCCCTAAATACTAAAAAGGGGGGGACCTAATGTCCTCCCCCCTGAGCGGTGGGTGGGGGCCCTAAATACTACAAAGGGGGGGGACCTAAGGTCCTCCCCCCCGGCCCCCACCCCTGAGCGGCGGGTGGGGGCCCTAAATACTAAAAAGGGGGGGACCTAATGTCCTCCCCCCCTGCCCCCACCCCTGAGTGGCGGGTGGGGGCCCTAAATACTAAAAAGGGGACTAAGGTCCTCCCCAGCCACCCTGGCCGGGTGGGGCCTAAATGTCCCAGGTGACTAGGGGTCCCCA